TGCACATGTATTACAACAGGTACACGACTACAACACACTCACTCGCTCACATACACGCACGCACGCACACATACGTACGAACGCGCCTTCACACCTGGAGCGCCTGCGTGTCGTTGGTCAATATCGCCTCCATGACCGAGAGCTCCCGCCGCACGCGTGCGTCGCCACTGTCTCCGTGATCGCCATGAGCACTCGTTGCGCCAGGGATGCGGTGTGCTGGTGATGAGGGCAGCAGGCGCATGCACGCCCGGCTGTTGGCAGCCGCTGCAATGGTCGCCGCTGTATCTCCACTCGCTGTCGTGCTGCTCACACCGCGGCGCATTGCGGGCAGCAGCACCTGATGACACACACGCACGCACGCACGCACGCGCGCATAGCATAGCGATGGGCACACGAATGTGCCATTGTGCGCGTTGTGTTGCGTTTGTACGAGGGATTGAAAGACTCAGTGGTGAGTGCGTGTGTGTGTGTGTGTGTGAGTGTGTGTGTGTGTGTGTGTGTGTGAGTGTGTGTGTGTGTGTGTGTGTGTGTGTGTGTGTGTGTGTGTGTGTGTGTGTGTGTGTGTGTGTGTGTGTGTGTGTGTGTGTGTCGCGGTCGGCAACGCCCAGAACTTGAAGTCGTACCACCGCCATCGTGACCGTAATCACCCACCTCAAGGGCTTGCGGCTGGTGCGACGTGCAGGCGAACATGGCGGCTGTCCACCCGACCTCCGTGGTGCGATCTGCATTCGCACCGTGCTCAAGCAGCACCCGCACCACGTCCACACGCCCTGCCATCATGGTGAGTGCCATGAATGCATGTGCATGCGTGTGTGTGTGTGTGTGCATGTGTGTGTGCGTGCGTGTGTGCGTGCGTGTGTGCGTGTGTGCGTGGTGTATGTGTGTATGTGATTGACTGCACTGAGGTAGCGTGTTGCTGTGCACTGACCGTAGTTGGCGGCAACCATGAGAGGCGAGGGGTATGCACTGGTTGGATCAACTGCAGCTCCAGCACGCAGCAGGTGTAGCACAACTGCAGGCAGGGAGTGACGTGGACACACCCGTGAATTGCGGCGAAGCAGAACAGCCAAACACGCCCAGCATGGTGACATCTACGTCGTCAGCCAATGCACAAGCACGCAAACACAATCAAGCAACAGCAACAGCAGCAGCAGCAGCAGCAACAACAGCACCATCATCATCCTCACCGTCGGTGGAGCCCGATCGACAGGCACAGTGGAGTGCTGTTCCTCCATACGCGTTAGCCTTGCATGTACGTGCATGCGTGCATTTGCATGCGTGTGTGGGTGTGCGTATGTGGGTGCACGTGTGAGTGACATGAAGTGAAAGCATGAGAGGAACCGGCATCAAGAAACGGTGGCACATGCTGAGCGCATGGCTTTCAGCTTGCCCACCATGCACACACACGCACACACATGCACACACATACACATACCTGATTGATGTTGGACGATGCACTGCCCTGGCTCAACAAGTGCGCGACTCGCTCTGCATCGCCATCAGCCGCAGCCTGCATCAACTCGGTCCAACTGTGATGTGCGTGTGTGTGTGCGTGCGTGAGAGAGAGTGTGTGTGGGGGGAGGCACACACACACACATACTCTCTCTCTCTCTCTCTGTCTCCCTTGCATACACACACACATACACTTGCACGCACACACACACACACACACACTGCAACATTAACTCACCCCAAACAGTGCGCCATATCCAGCAGTCCTGTCTTTCCTTTCGCCTTGCCGCTGGCAAACTGCTGACTCAGGAATTGGTGCTGGAAAAGTATTGGAAGATTTGGCATGAGTCAGCCCTCGCGTGTTCACATTAGACAGAGCGTGTTCACAGAGTGCCTTTTTCTTCCTTTGCCTCTGTCGCCCACCACCACCACAAGCGATACACGTGAGGCAGCCTGTGTTGGTTATGAGAGCAGCCAGCCTCTCGGTGCTGCTGTTCATGCGTGCGTGTGTGTCTGTGTGTGCATGTGTGTGTCTGTGTGTGAATGTGTGTGTCTGTGTGTGAATGTGCTTGCTCATGCGTGCCACGACAAGCACGCACAGCCATGTGCCACATCACACCCAGATGCACCGCATTTGCACGTACAGCTGCACAAGTGTACATGTGATTTTTTTTTGACGCCACTGCCTGCTTCCCGCATCAGCTCACCGCCATCATCACCTCTGCCCAACCTTGCCCTTCCCTTTCCCTGCCCGCTTCCACACAGGATGTCGATCGTCTTCCCGCAGGAGTTCCAGCACATCCTTCGTGTTCTCAACACGAACTTGGCTGGTGAGGAGAACATCATGTACTCGCTCACCGCCATCCGTGGTGTGGGCCGCCGCTACTCCAACCTCTGCCTCAAGAAGGCCGAGATTAACCAGAAGCAGCGCGCCGGTCAGCTGGTGCGTAGCTGTGTGTGTGTGTGTGTGTGTGTGTGTGTACGCAGGTACTTTTGTGTTTGTCGTTGTGTCAGTGCGAATGTGGGCATGCGCAGCCACGAACCGCCCCGCGACGATGAAAGAAAGATTCGCCGTCGATGGTGATGAGAAGGGAACATGTGTGCAGAGAGCACAGCTGCAGCGAGGGTGGAGACGACGCGCAGACCCTCCCAGATCTCCATCACCAGCTGTCTCCGTTTGTCTGGTGGTGCTGTGCCTGTGCAGACCACGGCTCTCTCGACCACAGCACTCCCAGCCAGCCAGCTCAATCCTTGTTGCTGTCATGTGCGCATCCACTCTTCCTTCCATGCTCACCCACTCCACCAAACTTTGCACACACGCACACACACTCACTCACACACACACACACACACACACACACGTTCCCTCCGTCTCCCTTGTTCTTCCACGCCACCAATGCAGAACAACGACGATGTTGATCGCATTGTCAAGGTCATGCAGAACCCCCTCCAGTACAAAATCCCCAAGTGGTTCCTCAACAGGCAAAAGGACCCCAAGGACGGCGCATACCAGCACTGCGTTGCCAACGACCTCAACTCCAAGCTCCGCGGTAAGCAGCAGTGATGCGTGCGTGTGTGTGCGTGTGTGTGAGAGTTGCATGTGCTGTCCTTTGCGAGGTGACGTTGGTGTGCATTTGTGTTGCTGTTGCACGGTGACCCGAAGCCCTCTGCTATCCGTCCTGAACCCACCTTGCCACTTTGTTTCATCGCTGATTATGTTCTTCTTTACATATTGTGTGTTGTTTCGTGTCACCAGACGACTTTGAGCGCATGAAGAAGATGCGCCTTCACCGCGGTATCCGTCACATGTGGGGGTGAGTCTTCTATGTCATGTCAACTTTGCTCTGCCGTGTGTGGGCGGTTGCACTGGTGGGCTTGGTGGTGGTGGCCAAGTCACGTGCTTGGGGTGTGTGCGTGACCGCTTTAATTGCTGTGCATCTTCATCATATTGCTTTGCGGTTCACTCACCACATTGATGTTTTGTTGTTCCCCGCTTGCCCTCCCATTTGCCATCGCCACACACGTACAGCGTGCGCGTGCGCGGTCAACACACAAAGACGACTGGCCGTCGCGGCAAGACCGTCGGTGTCGCCAAGAAGAAGGGCCTGTAAGCCTCTACCAGCGACGTCTTCTTTGGCCCCGTGTGCTTGTCTCTTCAATGTCGTTTGTTTGTGGCTGTTGCTCTTTGCTTCTTGTGTGGTGGTGAACAACAGGGCATCGAACCGTTGTCTGAGCTTCGCTTGCTTGCCTGCTCGCGTCTCCACCCCACATTTGCACACATACACACACATATAATGCACACCCATCCAGACACCAGACCAAGAGAGTGACGGCCAGAATACACACGCCATCACTCGAGTCACCCGTCAAGCGAGAGAAAGTGGAAAAGAAGCGAAGTCGAGGGACAACAGCCGCGTGCGTCTGAATTGTGCTGCCTTTTTCTTCTTCTTCTGTTCCCACACACAGCAACAGCAACACGCGCGCGCTCCACTGCACTGCACATCGCATCTGAAGCCACACCAAAGACAATGATGTCGCGACTGCAGACGCTGCTTGACAGCACGGAGGTGCCGTCCACAACAGCCATTGCCGCGGGCTCGGCTGCCGTGTGCGCCACTGCCGCAGCGGCCATGTGGGCCCGCAGCAAGGCTCGTAGCCTTCCCCCCATCTCTGTCGAGATCCCACCAGGTGTGTGTGTGTGGTGGGGGGTGGGGGGGGGAGGGAGGGTAGGTGTGTGTGTGTGTGTGTGTGTGTGTGTGTGTGTGTGTGTGTGTGTGTGT